TCGATTTCACTAATTCGAGTTCGATTTCACTATAATTGACTTTAGTTGTACTAATTCGAGTTCGATTTCACTAATTCAAGTTCAATTGTACTAATTCGAGTTCAAAATCATCCAAATACAAAATCATCGAAATACAAAATCATCCAAATACAAAATATTCATCTAAAAATATTTAGTTCCCCCAATCATCGCGGAGTCTAGTTCGATCGATGGGAGGATGCGAATACGGGCAATGGTCTGCGAAATGTAAGGGATCACCACATCTAGTGCATTGACCCCGGCCCCTTCTGCGGCGCGCCTGACGATCCATTTGCATTTTAAAGCGTCTAGTTTGGGCGCGACCGGGTCCAGGCTTCGAGATGATCCTCTTCCAATGCGGAATCAAATTCCATCCCACCTGCGGCCACGTGTCAGGATTTCCAACTGGAGTAAAATTCCAATTAGAAAATTGATTAACCCAGTTCTCCGTCCAAAAGTAGGGATTATACAACGACACCGGTTGATCACCCCAGTGACGACACACTCGAATTGCATGAGAGCATGGTTTTCGATGTGTCTGCCACTTCCTACATGCACAACGCTGCTGCTCATAAAAGACCTTAAACCTATTTTCAACAATGATTTTATATATATAAATTAGAAAATTAATAAACTCATTTGAATGGAAAAAAATAATACAATTACAAAATACATACTTGTTTTGCCCTCTTCCATTGGCGCGTAGACCGGTTGTCACCATGTACTGGGATCCGTCGGCGTCCACACAATGCACCTCGTGAGTCACCGCCGTCTTTTCCAACTCCCGATAGGCGGCATAGAGGTCGGTAGGAATGGGAGTCCTGCATCATCTGGACTTCTTTTGTTCTTGTTCAAACAAATCCAGAGTCTTGTTCAATGTGGCCTGTACCAACGCTCTGCAGGGCAGGAACCTAACACCTTTGAGGACATTGTTGTAACTCTCTGACATATTCGTTGTCAGAGTTCCCCATCGACGTCCTCCATCTTTGTATAGGGTCCACTTTTCAAGAGGAATTTTGAAAAGGTAATCGTATGCGTCCGGGTTACATTGATGGAGTTCCTGTCGACTCTGCTCAAATTTGCGGCGAGAACACAGTGAACCCAACCTCCAACACAAACCCCGGACTTGTTTAGTCCGGTACCTTGAAAACACGTTGCTCCGGAGGTGTCGAAGGCATATCCGATGAAATGCATGGGGTTCGTGCCAAGTCTCCAGTAATTCAACAGCACTCAATATGCCGTTGTCCCTGTCGGAAAGAAGACATATCGATCTGCCGGGGACGACATGATGGCGCAGATGTGTTAGGAAAAAGGACCAGCTAGCCGTGCTTTCTTCGTCCACAATCGCATACGCGACTGGCAATAGACGCTTATTCGCGGTCTGTGCTATGGCAACAAGCAGCTTCCCCTTGTACGAACCTGCCCAGTTGGACATATGTTTTTTTTTTATGAAACACTATTGTAAATTAAAAAATAAAATATTAATTTGCAATTAACAAGTAGTTTCCCCTTGTACGAACCTCGCAGGTGCGTGCCGTCGATGCTAATAATCGGCGGGCAACGAACGAAGGTTTGAATGGCGGGGCCGAATGCCCAGAAGACAAATCTGAATTCTCTGTCTCGAGATTGCTTCGCCATTTCTCCACCCTGCCATTCCCACTCAACGACTGTACCGGGATTCGCCCTTTGAAGGGCGGCGAAAAACCTGCAAATTATAAAAGGTAACCATAAATAAATAAATAAATAAATAAATATAGTTAAAAACAACGGGCACGTAAATACGTTTATAATTTATTTTTGCTTACTGAGGGAGTTGTGCGAAGTTCGTTTCCCACGTGCCATACAGATGATCAATGGCTTTTTTTCTCCCGTGCCACGCCTTTTTGTAGCTGACATCGACGCCACAGGCACTTTTTACGTCGGCCTGGACCATTTCCACACTGTAGGTCACCTGCTTCTGAATCTTAGCCAACAAAAGATTTGAGATCATGGTGGCGGTCACATTCTTGTGGTCATTTCTCTCGAACACCTGCATGCAAGTGTGGCTATCGGTCCATTCGGTTACCTCCCACATGCCGTGATCCCGTTTGTTAAGACTCACCCGGGCCTTCCATATACATGGTACAACTTCATCTGATCTGCACACAACTTTAAACGACTTCTTGTTGGAATCTTTTGTCCGGACCGCTCTAAGTTTGTCGACATTCCAGGCATTAATACCAATCCGGGCTTCTTCCTTGGTATGAAAAACTGTACCCAATCGGATAGTCTCGACACGCCCATTCCAGGTTGGCAAGGCATACTCGTCCCTGTCTACACACGACGAGTCCCACTCACCCATCTCGCGATAATCGTAGAGGTCTTCATTTGGAAAAGGGTGTTCTTCAATGAATTCTTGTTCGCTCTCCTCATTAATTGATCTGTCCGATTCGATTTCCGAGGTATCATCCGTGAAATCGTCTTCACCGGGAATGAAATCTTCATCTCCAACAATTTCTTCCTCAATGTCCGGTCCTCTCATGGTAAAGCTCGTTCCTTCGCCGAAATTACTCGTCCCTTCACCGAAATTACTCGTCCCTTCACCAAAGGTACCGGCATGCGTAGTCCACGTATCCTCACCACCAAACATTCCCTCGTAACCATATGATGGCGTAGGATCCTCAACCTGTGTAACCTGTGTGTTTGCTTCCAACACTATATGCAAAAACACATAGGACCCCGGAGGAGAGTAGAAAATCCACGAAAGAGAATTATCATTATGCAGTCTTCCGATAATAAACGAACCATCCAGTTGTCTCGCCATCAAAGTAATGTCCGAAATTGTCCAACTATCACGAAACCCACCATTTTCGTAAATCATATCTACCAATTGTCCATATGATATTATTCCATTAATAACAAATGAACAATCCGAAAGAGACATATAATTCGAAAAATTCCATAACTCACTCTGGGGAATTTTCCAGTACACATTAACAAAGTATGGACCGTTAGACGACATTTTAACCTGTTGCACAAAAAAAATTTATATTTTACAAATTACAACAACATAAAATGGCTAATCAAACACCACGAGAAAATTTCAATTATTATTTTACCAATCTACATTTAAAATTTCAATTATTTTACCAATCTACATTTAAAATGGCTAATCAAACACCCATGAAAATTTCAATTATTATTTTACCAATCTACATTTAAAACTCATTTCCAACAACAACATATAATTAATTATATTTTTACTCCAACAACATAATATAGTCAATTAATATATAAAAAACACCACAAAAACCCTAATCACCAATTTACATTTAAAATGGCTAATAAAAAATACGAGAAAAATTTAATTTTTATTTTACCAATCTACATTTAAAACAAATTTCCAACAACAACATATAATTAATTATATTTTTACTCCAACAAAAAAAATAAATTGTCAATTAATTTATAAAAACACCACAAAAACCTTAATCACCAATCTACATTTAAAATGGGTAATCAAACACCAGAGAAAATTTTAATTATTATTTTATCAATCTACATTTAAAACACATTTCCAACAACAACATATAATTAATCATATTTTTACTCCAAAAAAAAAAAATTGTCAATTAATTAAGTACAATTGTCAATTAATTTAACAAAAATACCACCAAAACCCTAATCACCATAATCCAACAATAACATTAAATTCATAAACAATTCGGATAAATATTCAACATACATTAAACCAACATTCAAGATTTTCTAAACAATAGCAAATAACAAATTATATCCATTTAACACAACTATAAAACCAACATTCAAGATTTTATAAACAATACTCAATCAACCAAATATATATCTTAAACATTCATAAACAACAAAAAAATAATATTACATTACATTAAAATAAAAACTAACCTCTTCTCCGATGATTGGTTGAAATTTTTTTTTT